TAGCAGCTTTTACTTCCTAGTGCTTTGTGTTAGAGGCTGAGGCCTCCTCACATGTGCTCTTCAAATATCCACCAGCTTTGATAATGTCATCATTATACTGAATACAATCGTCTCAGATCGATGTAAATATTCTTTGAAGTGCAGAAATCTGTATGTGGCAGTTATAAGTTTGGACTCTCCAAAATAGATTTAAGTGTAGTGAAAAAGATGAACAGTTTACCAAAAGTCTAAAAAGCTGAAATTCATGATTTACTATCAGATTTGAATACATTTATAGATTAATATAAATACATATGTATGTGCATGAGTGTGTTTTATGGAGTAATAAGATGTTCTGTTATCACTTCCTTAGTTTCACAATTTCTTTTTCAAATGCAGATTTTGTACTTGACTCAGAAAGAGTTGTTTTTTTTTTTTTTTTTTTTATCACATGAAGTAAAGAATAAACTTGTGTTCATATTATTGTAATTAAGAGAAATCAGCAAATCCGAGACAACATTAAAGTCTGAAATTGTCAATGGAGCTGAGGAGCAGCAAAATGGTGGAGTTAAGGAAATGATGAGTGAGGGTGTTAGCTGTTAAAAAGAACCTGGATTTATTCAGATGTACGTTTTTTGCTTTAGGACAAAATATATAAATTGTTCAAGTCTCTTAAAATTTTACAAGAAGCGGAAAATAAAGAATAAGTAATTACTGGTTTATGGTTGTGGGCAGAGGTCTGAACAGATCCTTTATGTATCTATCCAACACCATGTTTGGGGAAAAAAAGTCTTAGTCTGAGTTTTGTTTTTGTTTGTTTTAGTGATAACTTTTTAAGTAGCAGCTGCATTTCATCATAAAGTAGGGCACAGAAAAGAAAGAGGAGTCGTGAAGCATGAGGCACACAAAGGACGCGCCCATGTCTACAGCAAACAAGGAAAAAGGAAAAAGGGGCTGCTTCCCACATTCTAACACACAATCACATACGCACATGCTCACGTATCAACATTCCACTGAACAAATGTATTCATTATTGTATTACTTTTCTAAGATGAGTGCAAGAACAGAGCGCGCACATGCAGGGCCCCCACTTTGTTGTGAGCGCTCTGCCCTGCAAGTAAAAACTGCAGCGTGTGTGTTTCTACTCTCTGACTCTAAGCTGAAGAAGTGTCTTTAGAATAAATCTCTTGACACTACAAAAACAGAATTTTCCATTTTTTATGCTCGTGTCAAATATAAGTTACTAGAAAAATATTGAAAAAATGAAGAAAAAAACCAACAATTCGATGCTTAGTTAATAATTCTTCCAGGATGGAGTTACCTTTAAGAGCAAACCTGTTCAGAAAGGCAAATAATCATGTGCAGCAGTTTGACCAGAAGGCCTGTTTTTAGCGGAGGTAGCGAAGACATTTAAGTGGGAACTCCAGTCTCATGAAAATGAACCAATGGGCTGCTGTCAGTGCTTGTTAGGCCTGTGCGCAGCGAACCAAAAGTCCGTCAGCCCAACGTGAAAAATGCCCGGTTTGCCAGATTGATTATCAGCCCGTGCCCTGATTTTAAACGTGCTTTTTTGTTGTTGTTTTTGCTCGTGCACTGTCTGCGTGTCACACGAGCTTTAATATGAACGATCATATTGGGTGCAGGCCTGCAGCTGAACGGTCCACTCAGAGAGGAAGCTTCTCCTCGTTGACCGCTCATCCAACATATCGTGTGCTCGCGAGTTCATAATTATGCATAGTAACTTTGAAATTCATACATGCTGACATGCACGAGTCCAGACGAACTGGTGAAGATGTTTTTCACCTATCTGTATGACACAGTCCTTACCTGTCTGCCACCAATAGAAACAGGTCCGCTGATGCTGTTGTCCAATGGCAGGCGCAGATTTTCCCTGTGACGACAAGAAACGTCAGGAGGAGAGGCGGGGCCAATGCGGGGCCAATGAATTAATAGCAATACACTTATTGAGCATTAAATGCATTAAATTGGGATTTGGTGTCATGGGATGAATTTAATATTTACATATAAAAATAATAATCGCCAGGCACACCCTGGGCAGCTCCTTAAAGCTTCTTCTTCTCCTAAATTATCTCCCGCATCCATCCTCTCTCTCCCTCCATGCTGTGTGTGTGCAGGTAGTGAAGTTGGGGGACTCCCGGGTCATTGACACTCTGCTGCAAGCGGGGGCAAATCCAAATGTGCCAGATCCCTCCTGCGGTCTCACCGTGACCCACGATGCCGCTCGTGAAGGATTCGTGGATTCTGTGCGCGTGCTGCTAAACTATGGGGCCAACGTTAACATCGCAGATGAAAGAGGTACGGAATTAAATGATTTGATTTACTTCTGCTTTGTTTTCTTCTCGCACCTGGTTTTGATTGACCTATAACTCCATATGAAGGTAACCTTCCGCTGCACCTGGCCGCCAGTAAGGGTCACCTGGAGGTTGTCAGGCTGCTCATTGGATACACCGAGAATCGCGGCGTACGCAACAATGACGGACTCACCGCCGAGCAGCTCGCGCGCGGCAATGGCCACACGGACACAGCCACGTTCATCCAAAACCATCCGTGAGTGGACCAAACTGCACCTTACACGAGAAGAGTTTCTGCTCCCAAAATAATATGGGAGGGATTTTTCCTGAGCCCAGTTAAGTCAAAAACACAAAATAAAGGAACAAAACAAAAGTTTTAGTGTGTGTGTGTGTGTGTGTGTGTGCGTGCGTGTGTGTGTGTGTGTGTGTGTGTGTGGTTGTTTAGTGGGCAATAAAGAGCCATGTAAAAGATGTAGGCTAATTATTTTACATGCAGTACAGTGGTTTGTGCTCTGAATATTTTGTAGTTTTGTGAGTTTTAAGGCTTCAGACGTGAGTTTGTTTTTTCTTGTTTTGTTCGTTTTTGTAATTCTGACCTTATTGGTTTAATTATGAATGACCTAAAATGACATTAGTGGACAAATTCCAGCTGCTGGAGCATAACAGTGAGATGTAAAAACTATGTCACGTCAATAACACACATAATGGTCTTAATTTTTTTTTCATATTTTCAACACTAAAAGATACATATTGAAAAATAAAAAATAAAATTCAGTTAAATTTAATAATAAATAACACAGGGATAAGTGGTCGTGGATAGAGTGAAACTATTGTTTCTATCAGCTTACATATAGATTTAATAATAATAATAATAATAATAATAATAATGGATTGCATTTATGCTGAAGCACTATAATCTTTCATTTGTTTCTAGAACCTGTGTGAAACTAAATGAGCAGATTACTGTCTGTGGCCACAACATGTGCTGTGTGTTTAAATCTGTTGCATTTGAGTCATCTTACTTTGCTGTTACATTAACAAATGAAATCAAATTTGTATTCTGTTTTTCTTTAATATTTAGGTGACATTTACAGTCACCTAAGTACAGTTGTGCTTTCACATGTTTACTAAGCAGAAGTTAGGAAGTAAAGCCATAAGATTTACACTACAGAGAGTAGTGCAAGGAGCAATTTTATACTTATTAAACCAGTATGCACCTTTACAGGCTACACAATGAATCTAAGGATAATGTTTACATGTTAATAGTCAAATCGTTAAAATCTGTCAATAGACTCTGAGCTTTCTGAGGCCCGTCCATTGTGTGCCTCAAAACAGCGTTTCTGAATGTAAAGGAAACATAATGCTGCTGTCACCTTTTCTATAAAATTATCAAAATATTATTTTCCAGCTCACAGATTGAACTGGTTTGTTTGTTTCTTGTGTTTCGTCAGCGAGGCTTTGAACTCTAAAGCGCCTCTTTTTGATACTCAGCTCGAAACATTTCACCGAAAGTGAAACTTAAAATCTTTCGCGTGCAGTTTGAAATTAAACGACCGTCTTGTTGTTCAGTTTTCAATAGCAAATAATTACACCGAGCTTGTAATAACCCAGTGGTGATACTGTTGTTTAACTTATTCATTACCGGAATTAGAATTATTGCAACCTGTATCTGAAGTGTGTCAGCCTGAACTCGCGAGCTTTGTTTTTATGTCAATTCGTTATTAGAGGAAACCGGAGGTTAAAGCTTCTTTCTGAATTCATCTCCAATCAGATTCCAGTCAGACGTCGTTAATGAGCATGCGCATACGCCGCATCTTCTTTAGTTTTTTTTTTTTTTTCTCAGACAGGACCGGACAGCTGAACCTGCAACAGAGCGAGCGCGATTTTGACTTCACCTCAGGTCTCCGCCACCACAAAGTCCTCGATATGCCTGGGTTTTTGTTTGTTTTGGGGGGTGTAACTTTAGATTGTGTCTGGGTGCAGATGGAAATAAAACGCACACTGCTGACAAAGCTTTCCTTTATGGCGCAAAAGCAATAATTAAAGGACTCTCACGTGACCGCACATGAGAAGCGAAAAATGCCCACCTTAGACGAGCCTAGACAAGAATTATTCATTCTGAGACAAATGACAGCGTTGTGGAGGATGTAAGCGGGCTGAGCTACAGCGCAACGAACAGTTTAAAGTTGACAAACCAGTTTTTCTTTTGCTTCGGAACAAACAGAGGTTTCAATGTCAGTTAAAATTTATCCCAGGGTTAAAATCAAATTTGCGCTCATGCCTCGTGGAGCTGACGACACAGTGAAAATGTTTAACTTTTATAGACTGTAAAACACATTGTAGTTCCACTTATTTTATAATTTTTCAGGTCTAATTTTAGTTAGTATGCATGGATGCAGAGGTTAAATATGTGCCATGAACTTCCACATTTTTCTCCCACAGGTAAGAGGAAGGATGTGATTAAGAGAGCCTGGAATCTGTTTGGAAAGCAACTTCTTCTTCTGATCTTTTGTTTCCCGAACTTTTTTGCCGGACATTGAACACGTCTATACGTTAAAAACAATAATTAGCCTACAAAAACTTAAGAACAAAAATCTGGGATTTATATTCACGGTCTGGTGGAAAGAATGCTTTGCAACACTTGCTTACTAAATGAGAGAATGTGACTCTTTCATATGGTTATTGAAAAACTGTGAAGCTGAGCGCATAAAAGTGTTTTTCATTGTTATTTTTATGCATTTACCAAACTAATACCTTACATACTGTGAGACATCGCTTTCACATTCACCATTAGGTGCATCTACACACTTCCGACACAGTCACATAAACATTAACTTCTTTTTGATGCTGCATTTTGTTTGATGGTGTTATGTTCTGGTCATCAGACAACCCCTGGCACCTTTGTGTCTGGGCTAACATTTATCTAATGCTTCAAAGTTAGTATGTCTGTGAAGGTTCTCAGTCATCCAGGTCATCGTAGTCAAAGGAGCTTGCAAAGAAAAGCGTCTGGACTTCTTTAAGTTGCTTGAAGACGTTTCACCTCTCATCCGAGAAGCTTCTTCAGTTCTAAGGTCAAATGGTGACCCCCCACAGAGGGACAAAAGGACCCGTGATTAGAGGATCATCAGGGGGTCCTTTTGTCCCTCTGTGGGGGGTCACTCCCACTAGGTTTATATCTGGGACTCTCCACCATTTGACCTTAGAACTGAAGAAGCTTCTCGGATGAGAGGTGAAACGTCTTCAAGCAACTTAAAGAAGTCCAGACGCTTTTCTTTGCAAGCTCCTTTGACTTCAAAGTTAGTACAAAGTTATGTTGTACCAAACAGCAAGCATCAAAGTGTATCATCTAATTGTAACCTAAGAACGGTCTTCTGTTTTTTGTGCACACAAATAAATCACACGTGAAATTTTCTTCTTCTGTATTGTCTGTTTTATTATTTTCCTTTAGCACATCACAGTCATATTTACTCTTACCAACAAGAAAAGGTTTTGCAAATAACCATTAACACACATAATTTATTATATAAGAAAAGTTTGCTCTTTAAATCTTTAGTAGGTTTTTTTTAAAACCCAAAGAATTCCAGTGAGTTTGGTTATTTTAATTAGAAGCCGTCACTCTGGATTGTGACTAAGCAAAACTTTGTGCAGGCGTGCTGAACGGACATGATTCACTTTCCAGCATTGGGTGTGTTCAGGGATTTCAACACATCCCGTTATAAGTGAAACGCTGAAGCAACGCCACATAGTATCACACTCACAGATGTACACATACAGTGTGGTACATTTGTTATTTTTTGCCTATTTGTCACAGTAAAAAAGTTTCAGATGAAAAACATTTTAATGTTGGATAAATATAACCTGGGTAATTACAAAATGCAGTCACTTCATTTATAAGGGGGGAAAAAAGGCTTTTACGGTGGCCCTGAGAGGCCAAACGGACTGCAACTTCAGAAAACACTTGCAAAAAGAAAAATGCTGCAAAAAAAAAACTGCAAAAAGAAAAACGCTGCAAAAAGAAAAACGCTAGCAAAAAGAAAAATGCTGCAAAAAGAAAAATGCTGCAAAAAGAAAAACACTTGCAAAAAGAAAAATGCTGCAAAAAGAAAAACGCTGCAAAAAGAAAAACTTGCAAAAAGAAAAACGTTGCAAAAAGAAAAACACTGCACAAAGAAAAATGGCAAAAAGAAAAATGCTGCAAAAAGAAAAATGCTTGCAAAAAGAAAAACACTTGCAAAAAGAAAAACACTGCAATAATAAAAATGCTGCAAAAAGAAAAACACTTGCAAAAAGAAAAACGCTGCAAAAAGAAAAACACTGCAAAAAGAAAAACGCTGCAAAAAGAAAAATGCTGCAAAAAGAAAAATGCTGCAAAAAGAAAAAACGCTGCAAAAAGAAAAATGCTGCAAAAAGAAAAACGCTGCAAAAAGAAAAATACTGCAAAAAGAAATACGCTGCAAAAGCACACACAACACAACGGAAATGTTTCTGGGGAGACAATAACCGGACGGACCAGTTGCTCGAACCAAAACATGCTAACAAGTGCACTGGGGCTGTGTCCCAATTAAGAGACTGCACGCTTGAAGTACGCGCACTATGCGTACTACGTACGGTGCGTACTATAAGTACGAGAAGTGCGGAAGTGAGAGGCTTGTGAAATGGGACGGTATACGCTTCGTCGCGCTGTTCAGGTGCATTTGGAGTATGCATTTGAAGCACACTTCGAATTGGGACAGCCGTCGTCGCGTGGCGGTGACGTAACCGCACTTAAAATGCGTACTTCAAGCGTGCAGTCTCTTAATTGGGACACAGCCTGGGACTAGGAGACACTTCAAAGAAGTGGAAGCGGAGCGGCCAAAGAGTAAACTTTCAAAAGTAAGTTCTGAATATTATGTCACTTATTTATGTGCAAATGTTTAATAATGAGAACATTAAAACATTACTGTTGGCCACATGCCGGCAAAGTTATGTGACATTAGCGATGTTTGTACTTTCAGCGTTTACTTTGTTTTAAAGCCTTTACTTTATACGCCGTTCGATAGTTGACCTTAATCTTACAGAGAATCTGATGATTTTGTGGATAATTAAAGTCAGTCATATATCCACAAACACAACAGGCTGAAAGTCAGTGATGCTGCTCGGTTTGCAGTCCTGAATATCACGGCACAAGCAGGATCCACTGCACTGTTAATGTGAGCTATGTTATATTGCTGCCTCTGTTCGGTGGTGTCGAGCCAAACGGACTTTAACGTGTGTTTGAACGAGCTGACGGTTCACTCGTTAAGCTGAAAGAAAGATGCTTTAATCACAGCAGTCACACATGTGTCCACTGCACCATCTGGAACTCTTCTTGTTTAGCACTCGTAATAACACAAACACTAAATCCTCTTCTCTGGTGCTGTTGTGTAGCAGTGTGTACACCTGAGACTGTCACCTGTCTGTCTGTCCTGCACTCTCTCTCTGTTTCTTTCTCTCTGATTGTGGAATAAAAGTATGAACATGTGTTTATAAGTTACACTTGTGTTTGAATCCTGCAGCTTATCACACATTTGATTTCCATGTGTGACGACTGCAAGTGTCCAGAGTGAGGACAGACTGAGGGACCCACTGCTGCACATCATCTGTGAGGCTTTGCACCCCTGATGATCCACCAGGACAAACTCAGCAGTGTGTGAGGAAGAGGAGGAGGAAGAGCCAGCAGCAGCTGACAGATGGAGAGAATAGACAGACTGTTCCCTGTTTGTGAAGGACTGCTAGGAAAGTTTAACATAACTGTCTGTGCTGAATCAGTCTTATTAGGTAATGTTCAAATAATGTGATCATCCCAGTGTTTTCAGTGTGGGAGAAAGTACTCAGGGCCTTCAAGTTACACACTATGAAAGGCAGCAACAAGTTTAATGTTCAGAAACCTAAAGTCTGTATCAGCAGCAGAATGGAGCTAAAATAAATGTTGGTTTCAGTTCTATGAAGCTTTGAGTATTTTGGATCAGTAGCTGCTGTGTTTGTTGCATCATATTGCTGTAACTGTTTATATGCTTTATATATTCTGAGCTAAGTTGATCTATAGTGTTACATCATATTCTATAAGGATGTTATGTGTTTGTAGACTTTCTGCCCAGTTTGACCCATTTAGCAGAAGTCAGCCTGTTTAAGGCTCTGATATCTATTCTGTGTGACTTACAGCAGTTATGACATGGTCTGATTTTCTCACCCAATAAAGGAATATTTCATATATCAGTCTACTCTTCATTCTATCAGAAACAGTTATCACAGCTCGTACATTTGCTTTTTACACATATGTAAGCATTGAGCCAAATTTAGTAATGCCAACATATTAAAAGAACAATATTTGTCTCTTATATATAATACATCTATATATACACTGTCAAGATACTTGTGTTTAAGGTGATAGGAAATATAAATAAATGCAACTTGAATCTTTACTGAAGCTCAGTGTTTGGCACAGAGTTCATGTTCACTGCTGTAATAACTAATAATGATTAATATAATATTGGCCATATTATATTTACATTACCAAAGTGAGATGACTTTAGTCTCATGAACAAGATTAGCTAATTGTTATTTACTAGCTAATCTTAAATGACTGTTCAGTACAAAAATGAAGCCCAACAATCATGTTTTACAGTCCCGTGGTCTCAGCCTCAGATACTTATCAAATCACACAAAGCTCATGTAGAAACAAATGTACAAAATATGTTCTCCTTCATTTCTGTCAAACAAAGCTGTATGAAACGTTTCCAGCTGTTAGTATCATGGTTGCTAGGCAACCTGGGCAGCGCGACGGAGGCTAGACCGTCCCATTTCACAAGCCTACAAGCCTCGCACTTCCGGCCTCAGCAGTCTTTGAGTGCGGCCCTTGAGGACCGTTAAGGCTGCAGACCCTGAATTGGGATACAGCCATACATACATGTTTTGGTTCCTGCAACTGGTCCGTCCGGTTATTGTCTCCCCAGAAACATTTCCGTTGTGTTGTGTGTGCTTTTGCAGCGTTTTTCTTTTTGCATGTGTTTTCTAAAGTTGCAGTCCGTTTGGCCACTCAGGGCCACCGTAGCTTTCCAGACCTACGTGGCCCTGTGTGAAAAGTACTTACCCACCAAGAACTTTCACATCACTGTGGAGAAACTTTGGTCCACCATTTTTGGCAGAATTGCGCTGGAGCAGGAACGTTAACGTTGTAAAGACACACCTTTCAGCACAAGCACTTCACCAGATGCTAGTGATGTATCGGTCACGAACGAAACGGCTCTTAGAGCCGGGTCTTTGATGTGAACGACATGAGCCGGCTCCTTATCGGGAGCCATGGGTTTTTTTTCTTTCTCTCACCGTCTCTCTCGCACTTTTTTCCGCTTCACTCTGCACGCAAGCCTTGTGCTTTGCGCAAGGTTAAATTTCCTAAGTGATCGGTTCAATTCTGTCTTTGTAAACGGCATATTCAATGAATCATTTGTGTCGTCAGCTTGCTTGCAGTATCTCCCTGTTCTCTGCTAGTGTAATTTCACTTCCCCTTTGACCTTCTTCACTAATATTACTTGAGCTATGGATTTTAACAAAGGTTTTTGCCATCATATCTGCCTTTTCTTCTTCTTTCACCGCTGTGACTTCCCCTTCACTTAATACTGGATACCCATATTTACTTGTAATGCCATTCATCCTTCTGATCACTGACCATACCTTACCTATGTCTGCTTCTCTCCCCACTGAATTACAAAAACTCCTCCAACTGTCCCTCTTTGCAGTTTTAAAGGTTCTTCTCACAATAGCTTGTGATTTTTGATATTAAACAAAATTCTGATAACTCTGATTTCTTTTTAACATCCTAAAAGCTTTATTTCTGCACTTAATTGCTGCATCACATTCCTTTGTCCACCAGGTTACAATCTTCCTGTTTCTGCCTCCTTTCAGCTTTAATTCAATTCAAT